GAGTAAAAAGCGATCCCAGTACTTTGTTATTATTTGGGTTGCAGTTATCTGGTCCATTTGGTTGCATCGGAACTGTGTGGTCTTTAAACAAGGCGCTGTGGATCAGTTGAAATTGCTTGATTCTATTCGTCTATATTCTTGGAAGTGGATCTCTTCGGCTGGTATGAGAATGTCTTGTAACCTTGTAGACTGATACAATAATCCTTGGATCTGTTTTGTTTAGTATGTTTTTTAATAACTTTTCTCTACTTTGTATTGTACTCTATTTTTGGGATCTGAGTACCCCTTGTACTCAGTTTAATTAATTGATGTTATTTGCTTATATATAAAAAAAAAAACAATGTTATAGATATTCTATTTCTATATTTTAAAAAAATTCAAATATATATATAATAAATTAATTTATATTCAATCAATATTAATAGTTTAAAAATTATAAAATTAAAAATATTTATTTATATATAAAAAATAATAAATAAATAAATAATAGCATGAATCATGGATGAAGTAGGATAAAACCATCTTCAAAATCCAATGAATTTTTTTTTAAATCCGATAACATTAGAGGAGTACGAGACCAATGCCGTATCCTTCCACGTAGTCTAAATAAGAATAAACAATATATATATATATATATATATATATATATATATATATATATATATATATAAATTAGAGTGAAAAAGATATTAATATTTATTTTACATTTATAAAAGACAGAGATGATGATTTTTATTTATTTAACTTATATTTGAGAGAGAAATCCAGAAGAATATACTTTTGAAAGAGAAGATATTTTAATTAATTTAAATTGTAAGCGGTATTGGTTTTACAAAATTAAGTTTAAGAAGAATCGTTAATTTGTAGTGACAAAAATTAGAATTATTAATTGATTTATTAAATTATATGGTGAAAATAAATCAACTAAAATTTTAGAGTTTTTATATTGTTATTATTTTAAAAAATCATTAATTTGTTAAATTATCTATTTAATTATGAAAAAATTCAACAAAAACACAGAAATAAATCTATTATTTGTTTTACCTTAAACAAGAAATAGTAACTCTTGATATAACTGTAAATGTAAATCAGCGTAAACGTCAATTCATCATATTTCCGTTGAAATAAAATATATTTTTAAAATTTTACTTTTTTCACTTTATATTATGTTTTCATTTTTTAAATATATCATATTTTCTCGATATCAGAAAGGAGGGGAAAGAAAAGAGGAGAAACAAAAAGAAAAAAAAGGAAAATATAAACAATTTATGATTCTTTATCTGTTACTCAACGTTACTACTTAACCTGGACTAACTAAAATAATGACTATCCGAGCAGTTATAGATATAAAGTTCAATATAAGATTATGAGATATTGAATCTGGTAGAACCGGTTAGATATCTTATCATAAGCTTACATTAACGTGAAAATAAAGATAGAAAAATGTAAACAAGTCTATGACAAGATTATGAGATGTTTAATCTGGCAGAGTCGGTTAGACATATCCTCATAAGCTTATATGAATATAAAAACTATACAAAATTTTAAGCCTATTATTGCATCTTTTAATAAATACTACTTAAGACATCCGAAAACGTCCTTAAAAGAAAACTACTCGGTAAGAGAAAAATCAAGAAAAAAAAAACTTACTTAGATGAAGAGGGAAGAAGAGGAGGAGATCTGAAATTTTTCTTTTATTGATGGAGAAAATTTACCTAAGAGAGGGGAAGGGAGAGAGAAGAAGGAGAGAAAAGGGCAAGAGTAGTGAGAGAGAAGGGGAAGACTTGTGTGTAAAAAATGAAAAGTATCATATTTTCTCTCTTCTTAGTACATCATTACACTTTTCTTTTTATCTTTTTCTTTCTATTATTTTTAAAATATAAAATATCATAATTTTTTTTTCTAAGTAGTTATTGAAAAAATCTTCACGTATATATTTGATAATAAATAATACTATTTTATGAGTTATAAAAAAAGGGTTATAAAAAATTCAAATATAATAACTCAACAAAAAGTTATAAAAAAAGAAATAAAATATAGATGATATTATTTTATTTAGTAAAAAATAAATAATTTATCAAATAAAAAAGGAATGGTTAAAAAAAATCACGTGAAAATTTATTTGTTAGAGCAAAATTGATGATAAACGTTGGAATAAAATCTATATATATACTCGTACATTTTAATTAAATATAATATAGTAAAATTGATGAATATAGTTTTTTTTAAGGATTAGTATAGAAATTGAAAAAAAGAAAAAAAAAAGAAAAAGAAACCAATCTAGAAAAGAAATTACAAGTACAAAAAAAGTTAATTGGTCAACGAATTAGATCAAGCGAGACCTTCATCGTCTGAGCGAGAAAAACTATAATTTTTGGTGACTATCGGGTTTAACTTCATTTAAGAGAGACATATCTTGCTTGAGCGAGAGAAGATGAAACTTTTGATGATCTCGGTTTACCTTAACTCGAGTGAGGAGACCTTAACTTGAGCGAGTGAAAAGGAGAGGAAGAAGACTCAAGTTCTACTCTTGGATTGAATGTAACTTATTAACTTTTTTTGTATTCCTCTTGACTTTTATATATATATATATATATATATATATATATATATATATATATATATATATATATATATATATATATATATATATATAATATAATCTTGCTATTTAGTGTTAGTGATTTGATTTTATACTTAAAGCTAAAGTGACTTGATCAACCATCTTTTGATTTCTGATTTGAGTTTATGTTAGAAAATTGAACTTGGATATATTTAAATCAAATAATCTAATAATGTTGTATGCCGTAAATAAATGTGATATTATTAGTTGATATAAATTAATACAAAAACCTTATTTTAATGATTTAAGGGAGTGATTATTATAATATGATTTTTAGAAACTTTAAAATAAGATATTGCTTAGAAGGAATTTTAAGACTCAATAAGAATGAGTTAGAAAATTAAATATGTGATTAAAAAGAAGACAGAAAGAGATAAGCCAAATTAATTTTTAATATATCTATTTGATACCAAAGTTTCACAAATTAATTTTCTACTCTAACTAAAAGTCTAAAACTTTCACAATTAATTTATTAAATATATTTAAATTTTTTATTTAATTGTAAGTTAAACTTAAATTTATAAATGTTATATACATGATGAAAATACATGAGAAATGTTAGGTTAGAAAACTGAAAACTTATTAACTATCTTGAATTATTCAATATATTACAATCACTACTACTCTTTCAATTGAATGTGAGTAGAAACATCATAAATGAAAAAAATTATTATTTCATAAAATTATCTTTAATTATTTTTTATATTTATAATATATATTTATAATTATTATTTTAATTAAATATTATAAATATAAAACTGATTATAAAAATAAAATAAATAATTTAACATATTTATTTATTTATTTGTAATATAATATTATTTGATTAATTTAATTTCAAATAATTTTGGAAAAAATATTTTTATAATAAAAAATATTTTATATATATATATTAAAGTATGAAATAAATATTTTATTTTAATTTTAAATATTTATTATTTTTTAAAATAAATATTTTTCTTCCTTATCGTGATAAATGAATAAAAATACTTTATGCTTTATTTTATTATTTTTTTTCCTTGCAATGCACGGTTTTGTTTTTTTAGAGAGTATCTATTTTAAAGTATGAGATTAATAACAAAATAAGTTTGATCTCTTTTAATAAAGTTTGTTTTCCATGTGCATATGTTAAAAATCTAACTATATTGGAAACTGTATTGAATACTTTATTATATAAATGATACACGCAATGCATGCATTAGATTATTTTATTTCATTTCCAAGTTCTATGTTGATAGTATATATGGTTGTGAATTTTCCTTGAATTGTGAATTTTTCTTGAATTGTGAATAAATCAAATCAATAACACCTGGATTTATTATTAATATGTCTGGTCAAAGAGCATAAATAAGGATCTTTATTATAATTTAGGTTTCACAACTCCATTTGTACAGGGAATTGGATTAAACAATATTTAAATGGATCATAATCTCAAGATGCTTCTAAACCAATTTTGTTTACCTTTTGCATGTGAGATGAGATTTAATTATATTACAAGTGCAACTTATTTTATTTTATTTTAAAATTTCGTTTACTGTTTATCTTATTTTATAATTTATTTAGAAATTTAATAGTGGCATATAAGTGTGGTTATTATATTCGGTTGATTTCTTTCTACCGGAATCAGAACTCACCTTCCCTCAAGGAACACCGTACGCTCCTCAGATCCAACTTCAAGTATTATATTTTGAAATTATAGTGAAACTTGAACTTTAGTTTCCAATAGAGAATTTAAAGTATAAAAATAAATCAAAACTCTGTTTATTAATTCATATTTTTGATCTGAATCTCTAAACGACTTGAAACTGTATATCAGAACCGAAACCCTGTTCACAAACTCATCCATGAAATTTTCTGCTATGTCTGCCTATCTATCAGCACCCTTCAGGGAAAATTTATTTTGAGAACTGCTTTTACACAAACATTCATTCTATAACTATTTTCTTTTCCATATCTTATTATAATATTATTATTTATTATTTAATTATTATTATTATTATAGTTGTTGAATGGAAGTGGTGATGGTCAAAATATCAGCACCCTTTTCTTTATACATGTCAATTATAGGTCACAATAAAGTAAAGATTTTTTTCAATGTCAAGACGAAGACATATCTGAAATAAGATTTTATACTATTTTACAATTTGTATGTGAGTATAATTAAAAACGATAAAATAAAGCTTGTCTTTTTTTTTTACATAATTAAATTCTTCCAACACTACTTTTTAATCATGTCGCATTTGAGTTTTTGTCTGTATTACAATTTTTCTTTATTGTTTATTAAAGCTTAGCTGGTTCCACTGGTCTACAACTACTATATATGTATGCACAAACCCCAATAGAATAAAGCTTGTCTGTGACCTGACTCTGCAGAACCATGCAGCTCCAATTTGATTCTCAGTTTTTCATGTCTATTGTGTTTCTTGGTTTTGGTGGGTTGTTATGTTATTTGTACACTTCCTTTGTGGACAAGCCAAATAGGCTTCGTTCTAAGCTAGTGAAGCAAGGAATCAATGGTCCACCTCCAACCATACTGCTTGGAAATATTTTGGAGATAAAGAAGGCTCGCTCTAACAATTCAAAGTCTTCTTCTTCTGGAGCCCCTACCTCTCACAACTGTGCTGGTCTTCTCTTTCCATTGTTTGATCAATGGAGGGAACAATATGGTGTGTTTCATTCTCTTTATATGAAATAAATAAAACTGCTGCATCACATGTGATATTACTCTGATACCAACAATTGACTGTCGATCTTCAATCAAAACCTTATGCGGGTTATCAAAAGAATTATTGATTTTAATTGTTAGATTTTTTGAGAGGTATTTACCTATGAGATACCAATGTCATGGTATAAAAGATTATGACTTCATTTGTAATGGTATAATAGGTTCATGTGTCTTTCACGCTTATAAATTATTATTTTTATCATTTTTATTCTAGATGTACTTTAATTCACAATTGAATTCCAAGATAATGAATCTGACTTGAATTGGATTTTCAAATTGGTGGATCCTTGCTGAAATAAACTGCTTGTAAGTGTGTGAGTTAGATATATAGGAGTTCATTTTTCTTAAATTTTATACATAGACTAATTCTCACTGCTTGCAAGTGGACTAAGTTGTAAACTGATGTGGCAAATAGATTGAGTGATTTGAGAATCACCATGCTTCAAATGTCTTGTGTAAACAGGTCAAGTGTTCATGTTTTCTCTTGGAACCATACAAATACTGTCCGTAAACCAACCTGACATAGTGAAAGACGTCACTGTATGCACATCCTTGGACTTGGGGAAGCCTGCATATCAACTTAAACAACTAGGGCCTTTGGTGGGTGAAGGCATTTTATCTTCAAATGGGTCTAGATGGGTTCATCAAAGAAAGATTCTAGCTCCGGAGCTATACATGGAAAAGGTTAAGGTAAGGTTTTCATTTTGTTTGATATTCATAGATACTTGCTACTCTTAACTTGCAATAACTATTTTTTTTTGTGCTCCCAAGGGAATGATGAATATAATTAGCGAGTCTGCTGTATCTATGCTAAACTTGTGGAATGATAGAATAGAAGCAGAAGGTGGAGTTGCTGACGTAAAAATTGATGAGTGCATGAGAAATTTCTCAGGGAATGTTATTTCAAAAGCATGCTTTGGAAGCAATTATGCCAAAAGGGAAGAAATTTTCTTGAAACTCACAGCTCTCCAAGAGTTATTGTCCTGGAAAAACGTATCCAGACGTATCCCTGGCATGAGGTACAATACAGTTTTTCTTCATGGAACGGAAAATATTTTGTGATATTGTCAAAGATTAATTTACTTCTGCATGTTACAGCCACCTTCCAACAAAGACCAATAGAGAAATATGGAGATTAGAAAAAGAGGTGAAAGCAATGATACTTCAGGTGGTGAAGGAAAGAAAGGAAAGAAAGGAAACTGCTTTTGAGAAGGACTTGCTGCAAATGGTTCTTGAAGATGCTACGAATAGTAACCTTAGTAAAGAGGCCATTGACAGTTTTATTGTTGATAACTGCAAGAATATATACTTGGCAGGCTATGAGACCACTGCAGTTTCAGCTGTATGGTGCCTGATGCTGCTGGCCTCAAACCAAGATTGGCAAGATCGTGTTCGAGCTGAGGTGCTAGAAATTTGCAAGGGTAGAATCCCAGATTTTAGTATGCTTGGTAAGCTGAAGCAGGTAAGGATCCTTAGAGGCAGCATACACTACAAAAGCAAGTCATATACTAATGGTTTCACATTGAGTTAAACTCCCCGTTGATATATCCTTAGTGTAACAAAAACTATGCTTTTGTTATACATTCTAATTAGTCTACACCAACAGTTTGATACATCAAACTAACAGACTATTAGTTAGTATAACAAATGTCAGTATGATGCATAATATTATTAATATAAACTCAAAATGCACACACAAGCAATTTGATTTCTGTTAATGGAAGCAATTATAATGCTTAATGTTCTTTTATAATGATGTTACAGTGAATACTATTTTCAGAAGACATTGAGATTATTTCAAAATATCATCAACCATAACTTCCATTTGTTGTGGCAGCTGGCAATGGTTATTCACGAAGCGTTGCGCCTTTATCCTCCTGTGACTGTTGTGTCAAGAGAGGCCTTCAAGGACATGAAATTTGGGAATCTTGACGTTCCCAAGGGGTTTAACCTTTGGATAATGGTAGCAAGTTTGCATACAAATCCAGATATCTGGGGAGATGATGCCTACAAATTCAAGCCAGAAAGATTTGCCAATGGAACTTCAGGTTCTTGTAAGCTGCCACATGTGTACATGCCCTTTGGGGTTGGTCCACGAGTGTGTCTTGGACAGAACTTGGCCATTATTGAACTTAAGATGCTCATAGCTCTCATGGTGTCCAAGTTCACTTTCTCCCTCTCTCCACACTACGTTCATTCGCCTACTCTTAGGTTGCTCATAGAGCCCGAGCATGGAGTCAATATCTTGGTGAAAAAACTATGAACTGTTCCTTGAGATAGTTGAAGTTCTATGAAGAGATAAACGATATAGCATTTTGGACAAGCTGGTTTTCCAAGCCTATGTTCATGTTTGATGTATCAAATCTTATAATGCAAGAATAAGGCTATATATCGTTTCACACTTGTTTCCTATTTCTACTTGTAAAAAATAAGCAATAAAATCACTCAAGTTATCATTATGCTTCTAGAACTTGCACCTGTACATGTTTGTTTAATTTTTTCTAAACAAGTTTTTTAATAAAATTATCATTCTACATTTAAAAATGTAGAAGCAGAAAAAAAAAACAATTCTCTACTTTTATTAGAAATAAATTAAAGTTGTTTTTCATGAAAATAAATCTGTAGAAGAGAGAAAATAAATACTTTTTCTTAAATAAACGCATCAGTTTCTTATGCTTGTATAAGAATTACTTAGAATAAATTACCTTTTAACAATTACTCTTTTTTAACACAAACAAATATGCCCAATATATAGATTAGGATAGTATATATATATATATATATATATATATATATATATATATATATATATATATATATATATATAATTAATTATAGATAAATACTATTAAACATGTAGATTAAACGCGTAACACTATATAATTCCGGGAAGGATATACTTATTAATTACCAAAAATTAAACATTTAGTTGATGTGCATAAGCATGACAATTTCTTTTAATAAATAAGTTAATTTGAAAAGATATAATAATAATAAAAAACAAAAAGGAAAATAGTATTTATTTGAACTGGTGATTGCTTTCATGCGAGTATTGCGGGGTCGATTTTGGTTTATATAGGTTCTCTGAGATTTGTAACATTGCAGAGGTAGAAAACAGAGTTTCCCAAAATGAATCCATATATTCTTGAAAAGAAGAAACCTCTAAAAGGATAAACTCTCCACTGGTTTTTTATCCATGATGGTAAGAACTACATATTTCATCTTATAGACCTTGAATGTCTGTGCATTAGCATGCAAATTCTCTAACCTTCATGCTAACAAATTTATTCATGCATCATACGTGCTTGTGCATTTTTCATCATTAGATTCAACGTTCTTCATTTGTTCATGCAATGAACCTTTATGTAACATTGATTAATTAATATTTGGTTTATTCATGCATTACTTTTGTTTGGAAATTCCATTGTTTTCAGGTTATACCACATTTATAACAACATTAAGAAAGGATCCAACATATACATAGGAAGAGGAGGATAAATAATACCTCAACAAATAGATTCATGGATGTTGCAGATTCAGATTTCCTAAGTAACAAAGAACTTGATGATGACGACTCGGAATTTGAGACTGATTTTGAGAGATACTTAGTGTTCTCCACTGCCAAGAACCGCTTCTTTGGCCGGAAAAGGCCCCTTCGTGTTATCCTAGGCTCTGGACTGAGTACGCTCTTCTGGTTCTTTTATATTATTCCTTCCTACATGACATGCTTTGCAAGTTTCATTTGTGTTGCAAAAATTTAATTGAATTTGTCAATATAGTTTGAGATTGTGAATTAGAAAGTACGGTATCATTTTACAGAAGAGTTGCAAAAACTGTTCAGGTTATGGTAAAAGTTGTTGTAAACCTTGGTTTCTTTTTGCTTAGTCGCTGATATTGTACTCTGGAGGAACAAGAAGATCACATTAAGCGTTCTTGTTGGTGTAACTTTCATATGGTTGCTTTTTAAGAGGATGGATTACACCGTGATTAGTTTCATTTGTGACTCTCTCATACTCCTATTGGCAATGCTATTCCTATGGAGTCTTTTAACATCCTTCATTAAAATGTGAGTTTGATGCACTCTATCAATCAGTTGTTAAAGCATTTTTGCCCCCATGCTAAGATAATTTAGTATTTGAAACTCCCAATCCAGGAAATGAAACGAGCTACTAGTAAATTAATATTAACTTTCAAGAGATACTTTAAATATCAAAGCTGAAGCTACTAAATCAACTAATCTTCAGCATCCCGCCATGTTATATTCATATTTAATTTTGGAGTAACAGTTTACAATGATACAACTCCACCTATTTTATCTATAACTAGAGTGCTTTGGCAATTCAAGACTTACCACTATATCCAGGTGTTGTTTCTTATCTTTGGGCAGATATGATAATGGAATAACTGATTGATATTAAAATAATTTTTGTTTAGTTTTCGTCGCTTGTCCTTATTATCATCACTGTCATGAACAAATCAAATTGACTTGTTGAAAGCAGTCTGATACTTATTTGACCAAATTGAGTCCAAAACAGTCTGCATTTATTAGAAAGTGGATTTGAACTTAGGTTTGTATACCAATTATATACTACAATTTATTTATAAGTTGACCTGAAATTTTCAACCGTATTTCTTCCAAGTTTTCTGCAAGGGACTTGAATTAGTTATTTTGTTTCCTTGTTCTTTGTAATGTCACTTGACACTGGTTTCACATCATGCCTCTGTCAAGATTATTAGGTAAATATTAAATGCATATAGTTGAGAGGTAGTAGTTGTATTTGAGAGATAATGGTTGTATTGAATATATGTAGTTGAGAGGTAGTGGTTGTATTGAATGCATGTAATTGAGAGACTATGTCTAGAGGCCTATAAATTGACCATGTATCACTCATTGCAAAAATACATCAAGTGATAATATACAGAGTGTTTTATTTAGATACTTGTTTGTCAACAAATTGACATCAGAGCTTGAGAGCCTGAGTGCGTTAGAGAGAATGTTTGAGAGTTAGAGAGTTTGTTCAAGATGACCAACTTAGCTAACAGCATGCCCTTGCCAAAGTTATCGAAAAGCGTAAGCTATAATAACTGGGGTTTGCAAATGAAGGCTCTCCTTGGTTCCCAAGAAGTATGGGATGTGGTCGAAAATGGGCGCCAAGAGCCAAGAACCAGAGAATACTGAAGAGCAGACGATTGCCCAACTTGCTGAGTTGAGAGCAACACGAGTAAAGGACAAAACGGCGTTGTACGTGATGTACCGAGCTGTTGATGAGTCCGGCTTTGAGAAGATAGCAAATGCTAAATCTTCAAAAGAAGCGTGGGATATTCTGGAGAAGATATAAAAGGGATAATCGCGTAAAGCAAGTCAGACTTCAAACTCTCAGAGGCGAGCTTAAAAGCATGAGGATGAAAGAGGTCGAAGGGGTTGCCGAGTACGTCTCCCATGTTGAGACCGTGGTGAATCAACTCAGAAGAAATGGACAGACGCTACTCACTTGTCGAGTGGTGGAGAAAATCTTAAGGTCGTTAACCGACGACTTTGAGAATATCGTTTGTGCAATAGAGGAGTTCAAGGACTTGTCGGTGCTCTCGGTGGAAGAGCTTGCTGGGTCGCTTGAAGCGCATGCAACAGAGAAGGAAGAAAAAAGAGGAGTCCCTTGATCAAATGTAACTTTAAAGGAGAAGAATGTTTCTTATGCTCAGAACACTCAAGACCGAGGTAGTAGAGGCAGAGGAGGATATGAAAGAGGTAATGAGCAAGTCAATCAACAAAACTGGCGTGGTCGAGGACAAGGTAGAGGTCGTGGCGGTAGAGGCCGAGGTGGTCAGTCAAACAATTTTGGAGTTGAGTGTTTCAAATGTGGGAAGTACGGTCATTTTGCTAAAGACTGTTATTCAAGTATCAAATGTTATAATTGTGGGAAGGTCGGACATTTCGCGAAGGACTGCCGATCTGAGAGCAAGAAGGAAACAAACCTCCTCTCTGAGGACGCTGAGGAAGAAGGAGTATTGATGATGTCGAGAAGTTTAGATGTCGAACTAAGTCCGAGCTATTCTGACAACTCGGTTTGGTATCTTGATACAAGAGAAAGTAACCACATGTGCGGGGACGAGAACCTTTTTAAGGAGTTCACTAAAGTTGAGATCGGACACGTATCGTTTGGAGATGCATCAAAGGTGACAATAAAAGGCCGAGGTACAATCTAGTACCTGTAGAAGAATAACCGAGTTGGAGAAATCAGAGAAGTGTACTATGTACCCGATCTCAAAAGCAACATATTGAGCATGGACTAGCTGATGGAGAAAGGCTACTCAGTTTTGATGAAAGACCGAGTACTATACTTGAAGGACAAGTCGGATCGTTTGATTGTTCGAGTAGAAATGAAGAAGAACAGAATGTATAAGCTGGACTTGAAGATAGTTCAAGAGAAGTGCTTGAAACTTGACGTGAAGGATGAAGCAATGATATGACACTTTCGGTTTGACCACTTGCATTTTGGCGGGCTGACCGAGTTGGTAACGAAATAGATGGTGCGAGGACTCCCATCTATGGAATTTGAAAAGAAATTTTATGAAGAATGTGTGCTCGGGAAGCATCTGAGGACCTCATTTTCGAGGACTGCCGAATACCGTGCAAAGGAGCAACTCGGATTGATTCACACAGATCTTTGTGGACCGATTACCCTGAGTCTTTCAGTGGAAAAAAGTATTTCATCTCTTTTATAGATGATTTTTCAAGAAAAATCTGGAAATTTTTTTTGAAGGAGAAATCTGAGGTGTTTGAGGTGTTCAAGAGATTTAAAGCAATGATTGAGAAAGAGATCAACATGTCTATCAAATCTGTTAGGTCTGATTGAGGAGACGAGTTCATTTCATCCGAGCTCATGAAGTATTGTGAGGAACAAGGGATAAGGAGATTTCTGACAGCACCATACTCACCCTAACAAAATGGAGTTGTTGAGAGGAAGAATCGAACCATTCTTGACATGGTGCGAACAATGTTGAGAAGCAAGAACGTGCCAAAGGAGTTCTGGGTAGAAGCAGTGTAATGTGTCATCTATGTGCAAAATAGATGTCCACACGCTAAGTTGAACGAGAAGACAACGCAAGAAGTCTGGAGTGGAAGAAAACCGAGTGTATCTCACCTTAAAGTGTTCGGCAGCATAACTTATGGTCAAGTTCCAGCTTAAAAGAGGACCAAGTTCGAAGATAAAAACAAAAAGTACGTGTTTATTGGGTATGATGAAAAAAACCAAGGCGTATAGGTTGTTTAACCCAATAACTAAAAAGGTCATTATGAGCTGAGATGTTCAAATTGATGAAGAGAGCGAGTGGAGTTGGAACAAACCGGAGAAGGAGTCTATAGGAAGTAGAAGCTTGGAAGTTGATATACCACATACTGTGAGAGATCATGAGACTTCTGATGAAAAAAATGAACCTTTACAGCCCAGAGCGCGAAGTTTACAAGATATATACAACTCCACTAACGAAGTGCATGTTGTATGTTTCTTGGCAGATTCAGAAGACTTCAGTTTTGAAGAGGTCGTGCTGGAGAAAAAGTGGCTAAAGGCAATGGACGAGGAGATCGGGGCAATAGAATGCAACAACACGTGGGAGCTGACTGATTTGCCCAAAGGAGCACAGCCTATCGGCATAAAGTGGGTGTACAAGAAGAAGACAAATGCTAAAGGAGAAATTAAGCGATATAAAGCTCGATTCGTAGTGAAGGGGTATAAGCAGAAGGAAGGAATAGACTATGACGAAGTATTCTCCCCAGTGACGAGGATGAGAACAATTAGGCTGTTGATTTCCTTTGCAGCTCAACACAGATGGACAATCTTGCAGATGGACGTGAAATCGGCATTTTTGAATGGAGTCTTGGAGGAGTAAGTATATGTTGAACAACCACTCGGATACATGCGAAGAGGCAAAAAGAAGAAAGTGCTAAGATTGAAAAAGACACTTTATGGCTTGAAACAAGCTCCACGAGCATGAAATGAAAGAATTGACACTTACTTCAAGAAGAATGGATATGAGTAGTGTCCTTATGAACATGCTCTATACATAAAGAAGAAAGGATAAGGTGTGATGCTTGTTGCCCTATATGTTGATGACCTTATCTTCATGGAGAATAATGCTGAGCTAATTGAAAGGTTTAAATAAGTGATGAAGAAGGAGTTTGAGATGACTGACTTGGGTCTTATGAAGTATTTCCTTGGTTTAAAGTTGTTTAGGGAAAGGATGACATCTTTGTGTCGCAAGAAAGGTATGCTGACGAGGTCTTGAAAATATTTAAGATGACAAGTTGCAACTCGATTTCCACCCCTATGGAACCTGGTACAAAACTTTCTAAGTATGCAAATGGAGACCGAATTGATGCGAGCAAATACCGAAGTTTGATTGAAAGTCTTAGGTATCTTACAAATACCAGACCAAATTTAATGCTAAGTGTTGGAATAACAAGTCGGTATATGAAGGAGCCAAGGTATACTCATTGGAAGACACTAAAGAGAATTATAAGGTATGTGAGAGGAACAATGTCATTTGGCCTAATATATACTAGGACGGATGATTACCGACTAGTAGGCTACTCGAATAGTGACTGGTATGGAGATGTTGGTGACTGGAAAAACACGTCTGGATATGTATTCTTCATGGGAAACACAACGTTCACCTGATTTTCAAAAAAACAGTCCATTGTAACGTTGTCCACTTGCGAAGCCGAGTACGTTGCAGCATCCTGGAGTGTTTGTCATGCAGTTTGGCTTAGAAACCTTCTAAGCAAGCTGGAGTTGAAGCAAGAAAAAGGGACTATGATTCGAGTTGATAACAAGTCGGTCATTGAATTGGCAAAGAACCCGGTCAATCATGAGAGAAACAAGCATATTGATGTTCGGTTTCACTTCATCCGATAACAAGTGAAAGAAGGAAATGTGGAGTTAGAGCACGCCAGAACCCGAGCACAAGCTGCAGATATGTTCACGAAGCCACTGTCGACCACTCTGTTCGAGAACAACAAGAAGATGCTTGGAATGAAGGACAAGACAAACATTTAAGTTTATGGAGGGATTTTGTTAGGTAAACATTAAATGCATGTAGTTGAGAGTAGTGGTTGTATTGAATGCATGTAGTTGAGAGACCATGTCTAGAGGCCTATAAATGGACTATGTACCACTCATTGCAAAAATACATCAAGTAATAATATATAGAGTGTTTTATTTAAATACTTATTTGTCAACAAAGATCATCAAATCAGTGACATGAAACGGAATATGTATTATATTATTTTCCTCTTATCCTTTTTTTTATCCTATTTTCCATCGAAGAGTAAAATGCTTACAACTAGTGTGAAGGAACCACCAAGTCCCAGCCCAGAGGGCTAGGCAAGAACTGGTGATAGCAGAATTTGTTTCCCTCTATCTCTTCACATTGTGCTGCCTGCTTATTTCTTCTGTTGATATTCATTGAATGAGTTTGTCTGCACACCTATTTAGATTACTGTTTTACACCAAGGAATGATGCTATTTTTCTATTGATACAGATCACCACCACCTGAATTATCATCATTCATCTTACCCAAAGGGTTGGTTGTCAGTACAGCTATTGCAGTGACACGTATACTTAATTATCTACTCTTAACATTTGGGGTCCTGGCTTCCGGACAAGATTTGAAGAAATTTCTCTTGGTGTTTCTCAGCATCTTCCTAAGCTTGCTTACTCATCTTGTTTCAGTGCATTTGGTTTTCTCTGACAATTAAGTAATCTGCAGGTTACAGTGACATTGGGAGCTGTTTCATTTCTTGACAATTGGTTAACTGGTGCAACTCTAATCTACCTAGGTCAGCTACCTTCAGTCAAATAGCAAAACACATACAATTTGCAAATAGCCTAATTCATGAGGCTACTTGTCAGAACAGTGGTATTCCACCGATGAAGCAGGGACTCCAACATTGATATTGGACATGAAAGTTAATGTCTAAAATATAAGACACCTAGACACTACCTATATATAATCAACATGTTTAAAATCTAAATTGAGAATTAAAAATTATTTATTCACTTTCTCAAAACAAAGTTATTAAGCTTTATAATGATTTCGAACTGTCTCAAAATCATGTCCAACATTTGCTGTGTTTTATAGCATTCGAGACACGAAAAGATAAGTGTATATATTAAGTGATTCTACTTAACTGCAAGTCAGTACTTATCTGCTTTCTCCTTTGTTTTCATGGTGCAGCGTCCGTGATATTGCTGATACTGCCAGTGGTATATGAAAAGCATGGGGATATTATTGACATCCTCGCTGAGAAGGCACTGTTTGACTTAAATAATCTATATGCAGATTTGATGAAAAAGATATTCGGGAAATCGGAACCATCGCAAGAGTGCATTCTGGATTAGAGGTAATGTAATTCCTTTAGCATGTCATGGTTTTGTTTTGGATTAATACGTCATGGTGCTTTATCTTCTGTTAGTTTCTCTTCCAAGGCTGCAAACAAGATGTGCACAAAACTTTATTGTCACATAATTTCATTAGTAGTTGCAAAGTATTCTGACAAACATAGTGCTAAGCTTACCCATCAGGTTCAGTAATTTGAACTTGCCTTTAGACCAATCTTTGTACACCATTATGCCATTGATTAATTATGTATAAACTTGTGGTTAACAGGTATTATGTGATCAGAAATAATAATCGATTTAATGGGAATATCATTTGATTATTGATCTTTAATAATCGATTAGTGTTGCTAACATAAGAATTTGTGCAGGGTTAACAACCCTTGTAAATGCGATGCACAACAATTAGTGAGCAAGAATAATTTTCCATACATGATTGCTGTTGGTTATTAATGCAGGTTTCCGTAACCATGTGCATTATCATATTATATTTGCTTTTGGTATTCTATTTGATGGTCCTTCGCCTCTCGCATGCAGGATTCACTTGCCTCACGTTTGATTTATTTGGAAATTCATTGGAAGCTTTTACAGTCCTGGATTTCAAAATTTTCAAGAGAAACTAAAAAGAAACAAAAATAGAAAACACAGGTGTTCTGGAAAATGTTTACAACCTGTTATGTCGCCGTTTAAGAAATCAAATATAAATAAATAATGTGTAGTTTGTTTCACAAATAATGATATCATGTACCAACAACAATATGTGCACCATAAGGTTTTATATATTAAGTTCTGAGATAATATTATACATTTGATATAATGTATTTGATTGACATAAAGGGTACTGTTTGGAAGGGATATTAATGACCATTTGACTATCATCCAGGGCACAGGATTAGATGTTGCCCAGTGTCATACCTATTAAAGCCAATATTTGTCAGTAGAAAGAAGCATGATTCACAAGCACAATCTAGTCTAACATTGAGGAAGGTGACAAGCAATGCCTAGAAGTAGACCATAAGGGAGGGCAGGTGGTAGTTGATGTCTGGCAGATTCATGGAAGGAATGAATCAAGGGTACAATTTACAACCTTCAAGAAATGCAGTACATGTTCCACTTACGTAAACTAGAAAGAACCTAGTGGTCCTTCTTGCTTTAAAGCATAGCTTCATTGCACTAATGAAATGTATCAAACCATTTTTCTTTTTGTAATGAAATAGCATCTACATTAGGCACTGGGTAAATCTAGACATACAACACATAAAAAGTAATACCAATTTCCACACCGTTGATTTTACTCGTAGATATGTTCAAGTTCATATAGAATAAAATTACACAGCTCTGTATGAAATCACATTTCCCAAAATTTAGTTGGCTTTTTTCTTTTCGTCATTCTCCGTATCACAGTGGATATTTTAAGACAATAAATAGGAGCATCCCACAGAGAAGCTACCTGAAGTCATCTAGGAGATGCACAAATGTCTCAGCTAAAGATAGAGAAAGAATGAGATGCCCCTAATGAGAATCTATCTTTTATGGTAAGAAGTATTACAGCTGTCAAGCCATTATGGAGTTTATTTTACTACACCCCCATTCAATTTGTGCAGTTGCACGTAACGAGATATGATTAAGAAGCTATGGAAGTTGGATACAATTACTGGATGGAGGATTGAGTAAATTAGCAGTTAGATATAAGTGGATCTCTAGGCAAAGACAATGCGTATAAGTAAAGACTAGGCAAAGTTTTCATTAGTCCTCCCATATCATTCGCAACACTTCCCTATATTTTCTTAGACTCGAACATGTGAGATGAGGACAACCAACCCCAGAAAAAAGCCTGCATGCCACAGTATGCCCCAATGGTTTTCCTGACCTTATGACAATCAAACCTGTATTCAACACAAAGGGTGAAAGAATGCAAAATATGAATTATGACAAGTATCTATACAAAGGAGGACAAGCTCCAAAACTAGCCGGGTAAATAAATTATATCCTTAAAGTATCTCCAATTCTGAGGTCTTAAAATTAAGACGCAAATCTTATAAGAAACTCTCATTAGAGCAAACTTATGTGACACATAGGGAGTCTTAAAATTAATAACTGAGGTAAGTTCATTTGATGAATTGTTATTTCAATCCTTAGAAGCAAGCTTTATATAGTCTAAGTTTGAGTACCTTAGAAGTAAGTTTATTCAAAAGACAAAAATTGTAATAAGTTGCGGGCCTTCACATACATTTCTAGAAACAGAGAACATCAATCTCATAACGATATATGTACGTAACTCATTTGAGAGACATAAAATGCAATTCCTACAACTTAGATCCTATGGGCAACACTTTAAAATAATCATACTACCTCCCAAAAATACAAAACTGAATGCAAATTTAGCCATCTTTAACTACCATCCAGTTGCACTTGAACAGAAACAATTAGAGAAAACGATTTAAGACTACCAAGCACTGAAACAGTGTTGATAATTAATATGTTAAGGCTTCACCTCTTTCTGAACAGGGGGCAAGAAGGGTTCCCACCATCCAAATTCATATTTAGGATAGGGTGCCACCCATTTCTCAGGCTTCTCAAACTTCAGATCAGTAGGATTGAAAGCTAATGCTTCTTTTAGGCTCTCAGCTTCAAAACTGTCAGATAAAACTCGGTCCAGTCTCAACTTCATGAATCTGCCACAAGTCCAAAACATAGATAAGGGCAGAATTAGTAAGTCGCTGAAACATTATAAACCGGCATTTGATGATTTTCATTGCAGCAATATTGTTGATCAAAAACTACTTCTTTCTTACACCATTGTTTCATGTTATATCAATTGAAAGGGTGGAGCTCCAATCAGCAGAACCCAAAATTAAAGGTAAAGGGAGGAAAATGTACAGAAACCCTTTTTCCAAATTTAAGAACTGTAAGCGTCAAAATTGTGAAATAAAGAAAGAAGCAAATGATTAATTCTTGCTTGAGAAATGAGAATCACCATGATGCAGGCATATAAAATAGCATCTATTTTCCCACATAGGCTTAGATTAGGTTGTCAACCATAGGTGGCTAGGGATTTGTCTAGTGGTTCTACATAGAATGGCTTCCAATCCACTGTATGAAAACCTCCACAGACACACATAATTTGAATATAACAGGAAGATTTTCCCTCCTTTCATAGTTTATGACAGCCATTCCAAACATCATAGTCTCAAGCATACTCCATAGTTTAAAGCACTTGTAGAATCAGTCACTGGAAAAATAAAGAATTGGTGTTCTTACTTGATCCAGGTACCATTGGTTGACAAAAGAGCAACAGCTGGTCTCTTTAACCTCTTGGTAATGTTAGGGAACTTATCCAAGAACTTAGGCTCAATGACAAGCCAGAAATCCTGTTCTTGATTTCTCTCCCCAAAGAGACGAAGCCGCTCAAACAATTGCTCCTGGAAGTGCTCCTCCTCATCCAACATAAACTTTGCATTTGCAACAACAAAATAATACTTGTTTGCTTCATTCTGCAAAGACAAGTCAAAACAGAAAAAATTAAATAACTAAAAGTTTAATCGTAATGTTCATGCAGAGTAAAACACTATTAACTAAATCACCCTAGTTGTAAAATTTAACAAAATTATCATACATTATGGTTTGTGATTGGATGACAATGCATGGCCTATTTTCTTATGATGTAATTACCATCAAAACCAATTCAAAAACTACATCATCAAGCGTTTCTCTCATTAAAATAACACACCTCAATAGAGAACAACTCAGGATAACATAACATAGGACTAGCACCAGAAGTGGAAAAAAAAAAAAAAAAGGTAAAAAAAAAAACCAAAAACTAAAATTGAGCATAAATTCAATGTGGGATTGGAGTGGGAGAGAGGAACAAACTTTGTTGGGAGGATCAGAAGAATTGAGCTGGTCAGAATCAACAGATGCAACAGCTGTGGTGAAGGGGCGTGCATGTGCTGGTTCCTTGAAGGAAGAGAGAAAGGTGAGACTTTGGTTGGTGGGAGACACCAAACTCATAGGCAAGGAGTGAGTCCTGCTGGAAACACTGTGCCTTCTGTGTCCATTGGCTAAGGCAAGAGTGGTGGCATGCTGTTGTTGAGCATGGTTCTGAGCCACCATTGTGGTTGATGAACCCAAAGTAAGAGTGGCCACACCCAGCATCGTGGTCTTGTTCCCTCAAAACTCTTCTTCCAAACTTTTCCTGTTACTCAGAATCTCTCCGGTTGGGAGAAGATAGAACGAGAGAGTGAGTTTGTGCTGAGGGCTTAGAAGAAGAAACGAAGGCTGCAAATGGCGCATGGACAGTGGCCAATGGGACAAGTTAGGATATCAGCGACAACCTTATCTAGTTATCTAAATCTACCTACGTTACTTTCCTAAGTATTTAATTACCTGAGGGTCCATATAATTTATATTATTATAATAACACGTTAAAACAATTATTTTGGTCACATGACAAATGAAAGAAATAAAATCTTAATCTTCTTTAATATTTATCTGTGATTTTGATTTTTTACTAATTTTCTAATGTCAATCTTCGTATTAAAAAAAATGTAATTTTGATCTGATTCATAATTTTATAAATGTTGTACTTTTTATTTTCATTTTGTAGATAAAACATTTATTTTAAATATCATTAATAAATTATTTTATTAATTAAAATGTAAAAAAAAAAGATTCCAACATATTATTGATCAGAATAATACTAAAATTGTTACTTTTAAAGAAGGTTTCAAATTTAAATATAGCGGATAAAAAAAATAATGAAAAAGAAATACAGTCACTTATCCTGTAAAAAATTAATTAAAAAAACGTAAATATTTTGTAACAATATGTTAAAAATAATATTATTAAAGTTGCAAAAATAAATCAGAAAAACAAAATTACGAATCCTAAAGATGCAATTTAACCTAAATATAATTTTATTTTAATAAATAAAATAATTTGTGACATGCATAAATCAAATGGTTTCTTTGAATATGCTGATGGTTCTATAAATGTAACAAATTTTGATTTGTGATTCGTGTTTTCAAAGGAGAATATTTTTACGTTTGATACACTAATACTGCAGAAACTAAGCCTGTTTGTTAAAAAAAATGACAAAAACACAATCTTTGAGCTCGTAGATCACATTATTTTAACGAACATCCTTTTTTAATTATTATTGTTATTATTATTATAAAAAATAGTTATTATGATTTAAATATTTTAAAAAATCACCATTTAAAAAATTATTATAATTTAAATATTAAAAAATAGAATAAAATAAAAATATCATTTAAAAAATTTATTATGATTTATATATTAAAAAAATATACATAAATATTAATAATTATACAAAATGAATATTTTTTATTTATTTTATGGTATCATCAAGGAGAAAAAAAATAAAAATATAATAATTAGTGAAAAAAATTAATACATTTAAAAATTTAAAAATAAAATTTTAAAAAATATTTTAAACATTAGTTATAAAAAAATATCAAAACACACTCTAATATTAATATATATATATATATATATATATATATATATATATATATATATATATATATATATAATATATATATATATAAAGCTGTTTCCACTTGTTTATATAATAAAAGAAGCAAAACTATCAGAGGATATTTGAACTAAAAAAATTATTACATTTTAGATTCATGAATTGCCATTTAAATTTATTGGGATATTGTTACACAAATGAAAAGAATATTACATCTCTTCAAAAAAAAAAAAGTTTATTAATGATTGTTCCGTGTATAATAATCTAAAACTGTAATCATTCTAAAACGGATGGAATAACTTCACTCTTTGGCAAGTTGAGAAACCAAGGCAATCATGAAACTTTATATTCATCAAGCACAAAATACCAGGTCAACACCGCACAAGTCTAAGCTAAAAAACACCTAACTAGAGTCCCCAACAAAGCGTTCAAAAAGCTTGACAAGCTCTTCCAGATGATACTCAAACACGTTTATTTCCTCTTGCTCATCACCATCAAGTAAATGTCTGGCCTTAGTAATTGCAGAACTGATCTTTTACCTGTCCTCTGAGCAAAGTTTTGAACTGAAATTCTCATTTTCCAAAGTATTCTTCATCTTGTAAGCACAATCATCAATTTTGTTCACTGCAGTGTGGCCTTCTTCAGGAATTTCAAATCTTCAGCTTTGTATTCCTCTGCTTCTTGTATCATTCTATGGATTTGTTCCGTCGAAAGTCTTTCTGTGTCATTGGTTATGACAATTTTATTCATGATGCCAGTGGTTTTTTCCTTAGCAGAGACAGATAGGATACCATTTTCATCTATGGCAAAGCAGACCTCAAAAGGATGGTCTCTAGGAGCCGGAGGAAAGTCAGAAAGCTCAAAAGAACCCAACAAATTGTTATCTCTAGCTCTTGTTCTTTCACCCTCGTAAACCTCAATTAGAACAGATGATTGGTTATCTTCATCTGCACGATATACTTGTGTCCTCTTTACAGGAATACTAGTATTTCTAGGAATAATTACGCTCATGATATCTCCTATTGTATCGATACCAAGTGACAACGGTGTAACATCCAACAGCACCATGTCTGGAACATTCTTAATGCCTTCACTCAACAAAGCAGCCTGCACAGCTGCACCATGGGCAACAGCTTCATCAGGGTTTATGCTCTTGCACAGATCCTTTCCATCAAAGAAGTCTTTCAATAGCTCTTGCACTTTGGGAATCCTAGAAGACCCCCCAACAAGAACAACATCATGTATACTGCTCTTGTCCATCTTAGCATCAGCCAGACACCTATCTACAGTCTCCATGCACTCGTTAAAGAGCTCCATGTTGATTTCCTCAAACCTTGCACGAGTGATTGAAGAAGAGAAGTCAATGCCATGAGATAAACTATCTACCTCAATGTTGGTAGTAAGAGCATGTGAGAGTGTTCTTTTTGCCCTCTCACAGGCAGTTCTCAACCTTCTTAGCGCTTTTGGGTTTCCACTAATGTCCACTTTGTTTCTCATTTTGATTTTCTCCACAAAGTAGTTCACCATTCTGTTGTCAAAGTCCTCTCCTCCAAGGTGAATGTTTCCAGCGGTGGCCTTAACTTGAAAGATCTTACCCTTAATTGTAAGGAGAGAAACGTCAAAAGTACCACCACCAAGATCGAAGATGAAAATGTTTCTCTCTCCAACACACTTAGTCCTTCTGTCAAGGCCATATGCAATAGCTGCAGCAGTTGGTTCATTGATTATCCGCAAAATGTTAAGGCCAGCAATGGTTCCAGCATCTACGGTAGCTTTACGCTGAGAGTCATTGAAATAAGCAGGCACAGTAACCACTGCATTCTTCACCCTAGTTTCCTAATAGGCCTCTGCAATCTTTTGCATCTTCACAAGGCACATATAGTAGTGCATATTTTGTTGTTGAGTTTCTTCCAATCTTAATTTCTCGGTTTTTTTTTCCTCTTTTTATTTTATCTCTCTACTTCATCATCACACCTACTTTCAGTTTTCCTACGTGGATAGTTTGAAATTCTCTCACGCGCATACCCAGCTTTGGATTTGCTATAGCTTATTCACTTTTTCATCTCTTCAATCTAGTTTTGCTAATAGGAAAAACACCAGTAGGGATAAAGATGTACCAAGGGAAGGGGATTTAAGTTCGGAGGGAGAAGAGAAGAGTGAGGAAGAAAAATTTAGATCTGGTTTATTCACTTAGTTTTTTTTCTGCTAATATTTTGTATCTAGTTTGCTTGTTCTGCTTTTGAAAACCGATACAAGAGTAACCTAATCCTAGAGAATATTTATAAATTAACTTAAACAAAAATCAATTTTAATTCATTAAATTCCATAATTACTTTAATATATAACTCTTTCTCCGTATGTATAGTAAGAGATGCAACTGATAACTAGAAAGACACATACACACACACACGAACCTTTGAACTTTTAAAAAATGAGTCAATGCTTTAGCTTATGCAGATGATCACTTGAGATCAGAGATGGTGTGTGTGCATAATTATTACAGCAATACCTGCGAAAAGAGTTGCCAAAAAGGCATATAAGAAAATACAAACACACTTAAATCATCTGTAATCTTAACAAATAAGTGAATCTATGAACCTCTGCACTTAAGATCAAAGATGGTTGTTGTTTGTCCAATAAGTACATGAAGAGATGCACAAACTGAAAACTAGTGAAAAAGGCATAATACAAAAACTGTAGAATCATTGTTACGACAAGATACATAGCCAAGCTCAACATTGCAGTGAGATTGCTAATAATAGCACCCAAATAAAGGTGAAGGTTACACAAGTTCAATGTATGCCATAGGTGCATTATCACCTCGCCTTGGTAGGGTTCTTATAATTCTTGTATAACCCCCATTTCTTTCACCATAACGCTCTGGAACCTCTGCAAATAAAGCATGAACAATCTGCTTCTCATAGATGAACCCAAGGGCCTGTCTCCTTTTATGAAGAGAACCATCCTTTGCCAAAGTTATCATTTTATCAACATACTTCCTAATTGCACTGGCCCTTGCTCTGGTGGTCTTGATGCGACCATATTTGAGGAGCTGAGTTGTAAGGCCTCGAATGAGTGCACGGCGCTGATCAGGTGGCCTGTTGAGTTTGGGCACCCGCCTCCCATGTCTCATGGCACATACTCGACCACCATTATCAATAATGGTAAAAGAATGATCAAAGCCGGTGTATTCTGTAACATGAAGATGAAATTGGAAGTGAGGCCAAAGGAAATGGGACTACTATATTTCAAAGGATAATGGATACAATTGGGAAGCAGATATCATTCGCACAAAGCAAGAGGAAAAGGCCTATCAGATTCAGGACTACTTGTTTTTTATGGTTTAAAATTACATGCATTATCTATCTGTAGTTAGAAATTTAATTTGAACCAAAAACATCCATAACATGGTGGAACTAGCTTTCTCATTAGATGTCTTTTTCTCAAACAAGTTTCAAATCTAAGACCTATAATTAAGGAGAACCAAGCATATACCACTTGAGCCAACCATACCACAAAGACTTCTTAGTTTGAAAACATATTATGTATTTTCAGAAATAAGAACAAAAATACCGCATTATTTTTATTTCCAATATCTAAAGACATGTGATTGGTCGATAGAGTAAAGGCTTTCGAATGCATACATATTAAACTCTTGTATAATTATTTGTAGAGAAAATAATTTCCTCACGGTACTATAAATAATTTTTTAGCTATCATCCAATCACAAATTGTTATCATGATAAATTTGTCAACTTTAGCTATTTCACAAGTTACACTCACCATGATCTCTGATTAGTATTGTAAAAACGTGCAAAGAAATTAAACTCAAATTAAATTACAAATAACATTAATTAACTAAATTCGAATGCTTAAGCATCTACATGGTAATATATTCCAATATCCCTTTCATTGTTGTAATCAATAAATCCTAACACTAAATGAACCCTCGCTCTCTCACACACAATGCACTGCTCTCCAAAACGGAATCAATTCAAGATATATCTATAGTTTTCCTATGAACAGTTCAGAACTTTTAAAACAAAATAAATAATAAACAAAACATCAACAAGAAATGAAGATTTTAAGTCTAATTGACACAACCCAATTGAAGAAGACACCAAAAGAAAAACGAGTTATAGCAACGCAATGCATTAAAAGAAAAAGCAAATAGAAAGGGGAATGAGTACCTGAAGCAGAAGAAGGAGCGGAGAGGAAGAGGGGGTTAAGAGGGGCGAGACCGGTGAAAGTGGTAAGAAGGGATTTGGGTTTGGTTCGAGAAATTCGGAGTTTCGTTGAAGAAAATGAAGAAGATGAAGAGACAGAGAAGCGCAATGAAGAGGATAGTGAAGAAGGAGGAGGAGAAGGAGAGGGTAAGGCAGAGTGCAATGAAGCCATAGACCACCTGCTGTCGCTGCTCGTAGCCATGACTGAAACTGACGCCATTGCTGTGAGCGTTGAGCAATACCAGAAATCCCACACTCACTGGATAACGAATGTGGATAGAGAAAGCAGAAAGAAGGAGAGAATTTCGTTTTTGGATTGGGCTTTTAGCCCAATATAATATTATTTCTCATACCATGCTATTTCGTATTGGGCTTCTCATTTTAACAATGTGGTTGTTTTTTTTTTAGAACAAAACACAGTTGGAATATCTAAAAATATACTTTAAGATTATTAAAAACTACAAATTTAAGTAAATAATGCATTTTATTCAATGATTTTTCTTATTTTTTAACAAATTAAAAAAATTGTTAAAAAATATGTTAAATAATATGTTTCCTATGGTTCTCATTGTCACATTATTTTCTGAAACTTAAAAATAATATATGAAATACAAATTTGTTAATTAATTTAGTTTAAAATTAAAACAAAAGTCACGTGAAATAAGCAATGCTATTAAATACATATTTAAAAAATTAAAACATAAGTCACGTTAATTTATTTGATATCCTCCAAACTTATTTTCAATTTTTAATAAAAAACTGAGACTAATATGAAATATTTTGTGGTCAATAATGATTAAAATATTTATTGAACGAAGATAAATTAGCTTTATGACTAAATTAGAAGATAATAGAAGCACGTTAAAAGGGACTTTGATAACAATTTCAGAAGTTATGTAAGAACTTTTAAGCATGCTATTTTCTCTTTCTCTTTCATTACTATAATTTGTTTTCTCTTTATTTTATTGATAATCAAATAATTTTTCTCATTTCCACTTCTGTTAAAATCCAAATCCAATATAACCAAACTCCCAAACCCCAACTCTAAATTATTTAAATGAAAAAATGTACTTTTTCCAATACATTAAAATTGATAAATCTATTACCCTAATTTTAAGAAATATTTGAATTGAGTTTATCTTTTTCAATTTTGTAAATATCACTGCTAAATATTAACTATTTGGGATAGATTAAATTTTCCTTAATTAAAAAGACTAAATTCATCGATATAAAGTATAAAATTTTAATTTGTGTAATATACATATAATAAATTCACATTTTTTTCCTGAATAAAGTTATATATGATGAAGATACACGTTAAATACTGTCGAAGTGGTTCAAAGATGCAAACAGTGTTACTACCCTGCATTGGCAAGAAGATTCTACGTTGGTTTTTGCCACAATCTTCAACATCGTTACGAATCCGACCAATCTGGTCATCCTCCATTAAGGTAAACATCGATCCACCTTTTCTCTCTGCAACTTCTCATTTCTCTAGTAACCATTTTTCTTCTCTTTCACGCAGATGGCCGCAGAAGACTACACTTTTGGACCATACAAGATACACCACACTGAAGTGTTCTACTCCACACATCTCTCCTACGCCATGGTCAACCTTCGTCCTCTTCTCCCTGGTAACAAAACATGACACTGCCCGTAGTGCCTATTTCTTCACACAACGTGATTCGCTTCATTTTGCCGTACCCATTTTCGCTTTCCCTTTTGTTTTAATTGATTGATTTGTTCAGAAAATAACGAAGCCCAAAAAGGCCCTTTTTACTCTTTGGTTTATGAAGTTGGTGCCTTTTTTGAGATTAAGAAAGATCCATTTCGATAATTTGCTCGTTTTTGTCCCTTTGCAGGTCATATCCTTTACATGGGGTTCAATTCAATAACACAGTGATGGGTGGGATGATTGATGTGTAGTTGGGGAATTTCATAGTAATGTATTTTTTTTTATTTTTTTATTTTTACAAAGACTTTTGCGGTTCTGGCTGCAATTTCTTGCAATGTCAAGGATCACTATGAAACTGCAACCAATGTCTCAATTTAAAACCTTGTTCGTTTTGGTTAGAATATCAGTAACAAGCATTAACATGGTTATGCTAAGTTTTGTTGCATAGGATATTGCAGTACATCGCATAAATATACAAAGACTCTGTAATCCAGCAAAGTATGTTGTGGGGTTTCAAGCCCTTGACTGCATCGGATATTTTTAGTGAGTCTGCTTATAGGGCTTCTGTATGTTATCTGTGTCTATTTTGATTTATGGGTTCATCAAGGTTCACTGGAATGGATATAACTATTGATAGATTATCCATGAAGTTAATTATTAGATATACCATAAATAGGTATAAGGGATTCATTTGTGTTCTGCATGTGTTGGTTTGAAGGTGTTGGAAGTACAGCTAGACTTGGGTGGTTATACTTGTTTCACAGTTATTCATTGAGAATTTGAGTTATGGGTGCAAGATCTCTTATTTTAGCATAATGTGAAGATTTTAGCTTCATTCCATACAGCAAAGTAAATGTTTGGCTTAACAGTTCCTACATGTGCTCATCTGTCCAAAGCGTGAAGTTAAGCGTTTCGTTGATCTTACTGCTGATGAGACTTCTGATTTATGGCTCACTGCACAAAAAGTTGGTAGGCAGCTTGAGAGCTACCACAAAGCTTCATCACTTACTTTGGCAATCCAAGTAAGATTCATTTGGAGTACGCTCAGATCGATTAATAATTTATTTTTTAACTGCTTTGGATTAAATTCCTTCTTCTTTTACATATTAATTTACTTTAAAACAATTTGTTATTCTAAAGGAGAATTTATTGTTCATATCTGTTGTTCAGTCCTAGTTGGGAACTTTGTGTCACAAATTTGCAATCACGTAAATACACACTCACCTTTTATATTTGACCAAATTAGAAATTAGATGGATGCTGACCTTTTTTTTTTTCTCTGTTTTTGCTCTTATTTCCTTCTAGTTGTTGTTAGCATATAGTAGTAGAAAAGTTGAGATGTTGAAGAACTTATTTTCCAATATTTGTCTGAAATGCGTGACTGTTTAGTAATCGTTTCAGTTCTTTTCTTTGAAGGTTCTTGGTAGGTATATTTATTTTATTCCTGGCTCTCGTTTGCTAAATGCTAAGTTAGTTAGCTTGTGAGGCAAGAATGTGCATTTTACTATCTGGACAATTATTTCCAAGTTACTTCTTGTCTAATATTTTGTGGTTGCTCTTAGGTGAAATGTGAAAATAGCTGTAGTCTCCATCATTTGATGTTAGGAACTTTCCTTATTGATGAGATGATCAAGTAAAAATACTAAGGGGCAGTCCAATTTTGTGATTTATTTAACCAGTAATTTAATGTTCAAAATTGTAAAAAACTGACATAGAGTACCATAGGTTCTGCTGGTATTGTTCTCAAACTGAAATTTACATTCTATCTTGGTAAGCAAATTTCGATTTAAGTTACCAAGATAAAAGTAGTGGTTACCAAAATGAAGTACTAGTTTTGTTTGGTGAACACTATCAACATCATTTATGGTGCTATATTCGTTATGTTCTTAAAAATTCCCCTACTTCTACAGACTGTGTTGTCTGGATTATATGCTACTTGTGACTCAAAAAATAACCAAGTTATCTTTCTGCACCTTAGGATGGGCCCCATGCAGGACAGACAGTACCCCATGTTCACATTCATCTTATCCCTCGGAAAAGTGGTGATTTTGAGAAGAATGATGAGATATATGACGCAGTAGGATGGATTTTTTCTTGTGGCTATGCTGCTGATTTTAATATGTTGTTTCATTTGAATATGATATCTGATGTTTATCTGCTGTCTGTCATTGGTTCAGATGGATGAGAAGGAGAAGGAATTGAAACAAAAGCTTGACTTGGACAAGGAGAGGAAAGACAGAAGTCTTGAAGAGATGAGTCAAGAGGCAGATGAATACAGAAAACTTTTCTTATAACTGTTTGCTAGGGAAAATGAGTTCTGTGTACATCATTTGACCAGATTTTCTGTGTGTAGACAATCTTAATGCACTTGCTTGGGGCCACAGAAAAGTTTATTCAGCTGGTTTAGATTATAGAACTTTGTGTTGCGCTGATCCTTACAAGTCACAGATTCTAGTCTTCTGGGGACTTCTCATTATTTACGGTTAGCATAGTACTAAAGTTTCAAGAAATGCTAACAATTTGGTTCAGCTCAAATAACAGCATTTGAGCCCCTCTTTTTATTTTAGCCTCAACTTTGTTTGGCAGTGTTGGATAAGTGTGTCAAGGTTCAAGTTATGCCTGTTTCCATTGAGAAAGCAAGAAAAAATCTTTAGTAAAGAGAGACGCACAGATCTTTTCATAATTAATTATTTTCTTCTACATTTTCATCCAGAAAGAACATATAACTTATAAGTGGGGTAAGAGAGACCACTTTTATTTTACAACTTGATTTTGTACTGTCGGATAAAATTTAACTTACATAGAACTCTAGTTTCAGTTCAGATTATTTTATAATTAATAGCCAACAGTGAACATCTCCTGATTCAAACTAAAACCAGTTGCTTACAATCAATTCTGTATACTCTGATTTAAATACATTTCAAGTATTTTTAGTAGCAAAACCAATTTCAATCCTTAGCTTAACCCTTCAAAATGCAACACATAGTTGCATAAAGGACTCCCCGAGTGTTCTGACTATAAATCACTTAGGGCTTGTTTGGTAGAATATTTTATAAGCACTTTTAATAGAGAAAAATAAGATGAAAAATTAGTACGTAAAACTATCTTATACATAAACTATAAAGATTTTTTTTTATATAATTTAAAACAAAAGTTCACTTACATATAAGCTCTTTGTCTTTTATGAAAAATCTCATTTAAATTTTTTGTATCTCTCAAAATACTTCCAAAGAAGCTCCTCCAAATATATCCAAAGTCTCTCAATTGAATTATTCTTTATTACAAGTAGGTGTCATATAAATAACAACCAACCACTGATTGATGACTTAATAAACTATTCACATAATTAATCATTCACACAGTTTCAAATATTTTTTAGAAGACTAAAGGAGTAAGTAAGAATTAATTAAAAAGAAATCAACGGAGAAAACTAGTACACAGATTTTCTACATCTATAAATTTACAGCAAATTGCAAATTGTGAAGCATCTGCTGCATTCTGTGCATATTTCTGACACATTCATCTGGTGCATTGTTTTCTCCTTGCCCCCTCCATTAAGGTAAATAGGTAACTAACCAAAATCATAGAAAATATTGCCCTTATTATTTTCTTTATTCATATTGATTGTTGAGAACACAAATATGGTTAGATGGCTGTTGAATACTATGATTTTGGGCCTCACAAGATCCACCATAGTTCAGTGTTCCATACAACTACACTTTCTTTTGCCTTTGTCAACCTGCGTCCTGCTGTGCCAGGTATGATGTTCCCTTGTCTCTCTATGTTTTCAATTCTCTCATGATCATGTTTTATTATCTTTGTCCAATATTCATAGTGGCATAATCATTTTTTTCATTTGCAAGATAAATTAAGTTTTTTTCAACCTTTTGTTACTCAAAACGAATCTTTGAGTGTATATATATGTATAGCGAAGAAAATACTAGGCGTATTTAGTTTGGGAACACTGTTTTATTTTATATAAGCTTTTCATTTCTTCTTTCTGAAATAATTATAAAACTGCAATTTTATTTTCATTCTATTCTTGTTTTCAATTATCATTATATGAGATCATGAAAACCAATAAAATCTTAAAAGAATATCAATTTAGCCCTGCATAGATCCTAGATTAATCAAATCATTAACAAATCTTTTTTCTTTTCCTGTGTGAAGTCTTACGAGTGTAATCAGTGTACAGTGTTTTACATTGATTTATTAGATTTTAATTTAAAATTTATGAATAACTTATTCACTTGTGAATCATTTCTACTTTCAAAGATTTCATATGCTAATTGACTTTTGTTTTCCATTTGCAGGTCATATCCTTTTTAATAGCAATACATTCTGTGTTGAGATGATTAATCCATTTCCAAAATGGTTGAGACATTGCTAAAACCAGCTAAAAGAAGGCATTGCATACATGATTAGTCCACATATTAGCAGAGCATATGTAGCTTCATTAAACAATTTCAAATTTACAATGGTTACTGTTGACAACTTTGAAGATCCATATGAAAAGTTTATTACTAGCTGATACAACAATATTCAATATAAGAGTGAACATGTAGTCGAAAAGCTAGCTTGTTTCATTTGAGAATCAGCTAGACATAGTCTGCATATGCCTACAGATCACAATATTCATATGAAGAGGGCAACACAACAGCCAAACTTGATGTAATACTGGTTTCTCATAGTTTCTTGCTTGGGAGATTTTAAGAATTAGGCTCATAATTATGTTAGAATAGTTAAATCTCGATCTAGTTAGCCGTTTGAAGCTGAACTTGGTTAACTTAACAGTATATACATGTTCTTATCTGTCCGAAGCGCCAAGTGAAACGTGTTGCTGATCTCACTGATGATGAGAATATAGATTTATGGAACATAGCTAAGCAACTCGGTAGGCAGCTAGAGAGCTACCATAAGGCATCATCACTTACATTTTGTATCCAAGTAAGGCTATCGAAGAAGACTATAACGATGTGGTTTTTAGTTTCTACCAAGTCTTATAGTCATATTCTTTAATGTAATTCTCAAAAGACTTGCATGCTATGCTTCAACTATTTTTGAACCTAACAAAATCATCTTCATGAACCATAGGATGGACCTCAAGCAGGCCAATCAGTGCCTCATGTTCATATCCATATCCTTCCCCGGAAAAATGGGGATTATGAGAACAATGATGACATTTATGAGGATGTAAGATGGGAATTTTTATTTTACCTTTTTAAATATTTTGTCTGCTTTATGCAGATAAATCTGATATTGTAACTTTGTTGTAATATTTGTTCTTTCTTGGATGATGCAGATAAATGTAAAGGAGAAGGAGTTGAATCGAGCACTTGAGGTGGATATAGAAAGGAGAGATAGCAGCATTGAAGAAATGGCTATTGAGGCTGATGAATACAAAAAATTTGCCTTCTGATTTTTTTAGGTGGCACTAGAAACAAACTAGGAAGATTACAAAATGAAAATCTAGATAAAAATGTTTATAATAAAGGAACTGAATATGATGATTCTGTGTTTCATAACAAACATTTACATTGTATTAGGGGTTCTGAAACAAATACTGTGTTGAAGTTTCCCCTGTTGTTCATCAGCAATGTCATGTATGCACTTCCCCTCTTGATCAATCAAAAATTTATCAAGCTTTTACAAAAAACTTCTTTCTCATTTTGTGTTCTCAGAGAAAGAAAGAGAAAATTTCGTTGTCTTTTTGAGATTAATTAATCTCTTCCTGATGAACCTCAATGCAAAGTCATAAAAAGTGTAAAAATATAATTTGATTTTAGACATATATTTTATATTTGTTCATATACGAATCAATTCTCAAGATTGTTAAAGCAAAAGTGTAAAAATATAATTTGATTTTAGACATATATTTTATATTTGTTCATATACGAATCAATTCTCAAGATTGTTAAAGCTCGTTTTGTGGTCACAGTATTATAAGATTATTATGGAAAGTCTCCTATTGCATATTTTAATTTTTTTAGATATCACTTATATACTTATGATTTAGTCATTAACTATTATAATAAAGGGCTATTTACGTCATTATTTTGTTTCTCGATGTACATTTTACATATAAGGAATGAATATTTTTTTTTAATATATAATATTGGTTTTCCTAATCTTTATTAAATAAATTAAAAAAATTATTCTGTCAAATAGGAAAATTACCATCAAGTTTGTGTATTATTCATAGACATAATCAAATAGGAAAATCTTGATAACTACAACTAGTTAAGTCCTCTTTATCAATACCACTATAATTTTAATAATCATTTTCACTATTATATAATATTTTATTATTATTTTTATTTTTATCTTTGTTATTATCATTAGTGTTAATAATAATAATAATTATTATTATTATTAACATTAGTACCATAATATCTATGATTATTATAATTTATCGTCATTATCCTTATTATAATTTATAATATGTTAATCTTTATCTTAATATGCAAATATAATATAAAATAAATATTTATTTTCCTTTTTTTATCATAATAGTTTGTATCTTGCTATATATCTTCCTTTATAACCACTATATGAAGTCTTAATTTATCAACAACATTGTATCTCTAGGTAAATTACATGATAATTTGATAGCTTACGAATTTCCAAAATAAAAAATGAAAACTAATAAAATGAGTTAAATCTAAAAAATAAACTTGAAGACGGTGAATGGTTGATTAAGACAAAAGAAATACTAGCCTAATTCCAATTCCTCTATTCTATGAACTTAGGGAAATTCTAGTGATGAAATTTTATTTCCAAGTTTTAAAATGAGAGTGTGTAAGAATAAGTTAAATTAGTAAGTAGATTATGTGTTTAAACTATTTTTTATCAATTGGTTTATGTTTCTATTAATCTCAATGACAAGTGTTAAAGTTTTTCAATTTATAAAAATGTAATAAAAAGGAGACACCTTAGTGTAATTTATTTCCGTAAATATCTATTTTTAATTTTACATCAAATTAAGGTTCATATGACATAAAATCAAGCCCAGCCCAGGCGAAGATCAGGCCCAAAACCATGTCTGTGTCTGATTGATTTGGCGGGAGTGTAGTGTCAGTGTATCCCGCTATCAATGTCCGAACTTTAGTGGCTTCTGCACTGAGACTTTACAGTGGTTTCTCTTCCTCCTCTCCCCACCATGGAGACCATTCCCTCCGTTCTCAAGGTAACCCTAATCAATGCCCCTAACATCTCCCAACATCGTTTTTACCCTTTCACAAATGTTGACAATGATTGGTTGTACAATGCCGTTAAATCCACTTTCGCCGTTTCCCTTAATTCTTTGTAAGAAAGCTCCAATACACACTTTCCAGTTTTCAGTTTTTTGTGGGATTGAAAAAAAAATTGTTCTTTGTTTGGTGCTTTATCTGAATAAAAAATAATTGAATGTGCAATGGAAATGTTGTTGAGTTGCCCCATTAGTAATATGAATGACGTGTTAGAGATTTTGAGGGTTTTATGATTGTTGGATGCTGATATTTTTCTACTATTTTTTTTCAGAAATACTTTGGGTTTTCTGGTTTTCGGCCTTACCAGAGAGAAGTTATTGAGAAAATTATTGATAAAAGGGATTGTTTGGTAGTCATGGCTACTGGTAGTGGGAAGTCCTTGTGGTAAAAAGCATCATCATTCCCCTCTCGCTCTCTCATTCTGTGTTATTTACCTCTTCTTGAAGCTAATTGCTTAAATTGGAGAGTTCACTATTGAACTGCATTTTCTTTTTAAACAGCTATCAGGTGCCTCCCTTGGTTGTTAAAAAGACTGGGATAGTTGTGAGCCCTCTGATATCGTTGATGCAAGACCAGGTGGATTGATTGGTTCTTCTGAATAATTCTTCTTGTTTTACATTTCTATGCTCTCAGTGCCTTTCTGTATCTTTCAATAGTGATTATCTAATTTGGAAGACATGGGAAAACAGGTGATGGCTTTAAAACAACGGGGCATCAAAGCTGAATATCTTGGAAGTGCTCAGAAGGATTTCACTGTGCACTCTAAAGCTGAACTTGGTCAATTTGACATTCTGTTCATGACTCCTGAGAAGGCATGCACAGTTCCTACCAGGTAATGGATTAAACATATGTGTAACCTTCAGCTGGTAGATTGTGACCTTATTTTGAGTGCATTTTACTGATATATTATAGTTTTTTAATAATATGTCATGGAGTTATTCTGAAAGTTATATGACTAGTTCACTTTATCAGTTAATTATCGTTTTAGTATATGAAATCAGATCACCAACTTTGGTCCATTCTATGTCTTGTCTAATTATGATCTTCTGTTAATTTGATCTTATTTTTAGTTTTTGGTCCAACTTACTAAAGGCTGGAATTAGTCTTTTTGCTGTTGATGAAGCCCATTGCATATCAGAATGGGGACATGATTTTAGGGTGGAATACAAGCATTTAGACAAGTTACGTGAGGTTTTGCTAGATGTTCCTTTTGTTGGTCTAACTGCGACTGCTACTGAAAAGTAAGAATCATTTTCTTTGGCTGTTAGTGAATACTTTGTGCCTTCTTTATCTTGTATATATTTCGTTCTCCAACTGTTTGGACAAATTTGTTTTTAGTTGAACGTCAGTGTCAGAATCATGGCTTTTTACTGTTACATAAACTTTATTGACCATGCTTTGCTTGTGTTGGTCTCAAATTTCAGTCTATTTCATCCTTCTATCAGTCTGTCTATCTCTCTATTTTTCTCTCATGTGTCCCTTTCCATTCCCACAAATAACAGCTAGAAGGATAAATGCTGGACAATAATAGAATTACAAAATCAAGGAAGGTCAACCTATAAAGACTAACCGGAAATTCACTCTATTTTGATATTTTATTATGTCATCAAAATAATCATAAACTGATAAGCATGGGAATTGAAATTAATTTCTCAAGCTATAGAAATTGAAATCTATTTAAGCAGTTGATTAGGGGCAATGCGGGAGGGAAGGAGAGCCAGGACTTGAATGTATTGGGGTTGGAAGTAATGCTTCTGTTCTATGGCACTGATTTGTATCTTCCTCTCATCTGGTATTCTGTCATCCAATGGATAGATTTCCAGGGATAGAGGACTTTTGTTAATAAACATCGCATATTGTTCTACCTTCTGAGATAATTCTGCAAGAAGCCTATTAGGTTACTTAAATTTTTAAAATGATGCTGTTTGTAACAAAAATAAACTACCAGGTTCTGGAGTTATTGAACCACCTATGTTGAATCCAAGCTTGTTTCTGATGTACTCAGTTGTATAGGGGAGGGCTACTGAAGGTCTTGTAAGATACTTTATGTTTTATTTAAATTATTACAGGTACAAAGATTCTTGCTGAGCTTCCCATACTGTGTACTTCTGGTGGTTTCTTTCTATTTTACAGCATGTTCTCATTAAGAGGAAATGATTTTGTTACTTGTGTTGAACACTATTATGGGCATTGCTACAGGAATGGATTAAAATTTATTGATATTTCTACTTCATAAACTTAATTAATGAATTAATGTGATGCTTCTTTGTGTTACACTGTTTTACTTCATGGTTCTTTTAATTAATAGTATACTGTAGCTTTATTTAGTTTAATGTCAAAAATAAACAGTCATATTAATTTCTATGCTTCACTGCTAGGGTTCGATTTGACATCATCAGTTCCTTGAAGATGCATAACCCTTATGTTAGGATTGGTTCATTTGACCGCACAAATCTCTTCTATGGTGTTAAACTATTAAACCGTGGACAATCTTTCATTGAAGAGCTTGCGCAAGAAATTTCAAAAGAAGTTTCTACTGGTAGTTCAACTATAATTTACTGTACAACAATCAAAGATGTAGAGCAGGTAATGTGCTAGAAATGTTACAAATGAATCCCAGTAGTTTTATCTCTTGCCCTTATGTTGAAGGTTAATCAAAGACTCTACATGACTCCTAGAACACTTTGTAAACTATGCCAAAGGGACAGATTGCTTGAGGTCTCGTCAAGATTTTTAGTTATTAGGCGCAACAATGAAGCTGTTGCTGTATGTTACTTAATGGGATATTCATTCATGATTCAAGACAAATATTAGAACTTTCAAACTATTGTGTAATATACTAATAGGAAAATTTCCAAAACTCCTAGTACTATATAGTAACTTTCTGTTTTACCTACGGGAAATCTTGTTTGCATTTTTTGTTGTCTATTTTCAGCCTTTTTAAAAAAATATTTATCTCGATATTGTTTTAAATAGATATTCAAGTCATTTACAGAAGCAGGCATTGAGGCAGGAATGTACCATGGCCAAATGAATGGAAAAGCTCGAGAGGAATCTCATAGGTGAATATTCTTGCTCCTTCCGTCCTTCCTGTACTCTAATTTTTGAAGCCGCTTCAAAGATTTTTAAACCTAACTGAACTGTGTGCTAATTCATTCAGATTATTTGT